TGTAATGATTTCACTTTTCTTACCACAATAGAAGCCATCATATTTAGCAGTCAACATTCTCTTCACTCTCCAAAATATATCATTTTCTACTTTAAATTCATAGCTAGTAAATATGCTTTTATACTCATTATTTGTAATGTTTAGCAAACATATTTAAATATTTAAAACATATTTTCTTTCCTGAATGGTAAAAATTGTTCATTATTTTGCTCTTTTTATGTGAGTACATACATATATAATACACACATGTGAATATATAACTTTATATCTACACTTATATATTTAGAGATGTATTAGGAACCCATGTTCATCTCTTCTTCTTGCTTATGACTTTTGCTGTTGTTGTCGTCCATAGATTTGAGTTGCTATGATTTGTAATAACAACAAATTCAAGACAAAGTTCATTTAGAGTGCATCTCCTTTAGGTACAGTGAAAGCAATAACTACAAATAAAAATCTACCTGACCTTATTTTACTCTTCAACGACAGTGAAACTTCTGCCCAAGAATATTTTTCTTTTGGCTGTACTTCATTCTTTAGAAAATAACCTAATACTTCACTCAGGAAACATTTCACAAATTATAAAAACAGAGATGTATTGGATCTCTGCTTATTTTAAAGAGAGCTAAAATTTATCAGTTTACATGTAAATTTCAGACTCACCAAATTTTATTTATTTGGTTATGTGCTGCATCAAAAAATTTGCAGTATTGGCAGCAAGTTGGTTTATAATCATTTTTATAATGTGTAAATTTTGTAACTACATAAAGAGCCAACAGCAAAAAGTATTTGCTTTATAACAAAGGCCTTTTAGTACAAAAAAGACAAATACTTTCACAGTCATATGAAATAAGCCAGAAAATGTTCACACACATACACACACAAACACAGAGAGAGAGAGAGGGGGGGGAGAGAGAGAGAGAGAGAGAGAGAGAGAGAGAGAGAGGAGAGAGACTGACTAAATATAAATAAGTAATAGGTCTATATTAAATATACCCATCTCAAGCACATTACCACATTATCTTAGCTTAAGAAAATTCTTTAGAATAGGAAATACTATGTCAATTCAAGGACTGAATGATTAAACCCAACTCATTTTTATTGAGTCAGATGTGAAAAAATTCAGTTAATTGATATGCAAGATCTCAATGCACCGGAATCCAATTATGAAGTCTTCAAAATGCTAGTCAAATAAAAGTTAATGAGACATTTTAAGCACGTTAGAATTTTATGATACTGATTTATACTGAAAAATGGCAAGGATTTGAGAAGCTGAGTTAAATTCTGTCTTCAATTTAGAATTCCAACTAAGAATGTATTACATATACGGTCTGCTTCTAATAAGGAATTCCTTTTGATCTTTTTTTCTTTATATTGATTTTTATTTAGTAATAATCAAGAACTTTGGGCTCTGAATTACAATAGCTCAAGGGAACATTTATTCTAACTCAGCAATAATTCAAATATGGAGACATACTAATCTTAACAATAATTTCAACCTTGAGTTATATTATTATTTACTGTACATATTCTAATAAGGAATGAATTTGACATTTTACAGAGCACTTACATTAAATGTGTCTTTCTCTAAAACTAAAGGTTAATATTAATTAGATATAATGTTTTGCAGTCTTTTATTTATGTAGTCTTAATATTGTATGGTATTTTTCTTCAATTACACTTGTTTCTTCTAGAACATGTCTTGTTCTTGTTCAAGTAGGGAGGAAGCAGAGCAAAATGGTTCCTCATCCTTAAGTACTGTCAAGTTGACTTCACACTGCATCAGCCAGAAGAGATTCAACATTGAACTTAGTGAAGAGCCACAAAGCTCAGTTTATCATGGAAGATGTGGACTTGATTAGTCCACGGAACTGGAATAGAGTCCTATCCATCTGTAGCAATGGAGTTTGCATTCTATCTCTCAAACTGGGTTTTGTAAGCAGGGAAGAAAGTGACCTATGATATTGTTAGTGGTTAACAAATATTACGTTTTTAATGTTGTGATAGCATCACAATAAATATTAGCTAAAATGGAGTTGGGTTCTTGAAATGAATATTCAACTCAAATGTTACTCTGGCTGCATTATTGGAATTTCGCTTTTGGTTACTTGAAGATAATTATGAGTAAGTTCAAAC